GTGTTACTAGAGTCACGTGACTTCCGCTGTCGTAACAAAGGAATAAATGTGTGTCAGTGTGAGATATGTCGAAATGGATTTCCAAGCCCTAGAAGGGATTTGTGGCCTTGTATGTAATACCTGATATGTCATCAGAGACAATACTACAAGCACTTGGATATGTGACATATCTGTTCATTCATTGCGAGGTCAGTATTATGATAGAACAACTTCGAAGGTGTGGTAGTAGAGGTCAAGAGAGTTGAGAAGAGGGCAATATATACTCGTTGTTATGGTTATATATTAAATCTTGTCTGTTAGGACAACTTTAAGCCAGCTGCCATTATGAGTGACGTTCTTGACACTGCATATGAAATCACTAAGCTGGTTCAATGCAGCTCTAAAAGGGAAACGTTTTGAAGCAGATAAAAAAAAAGACGGTGTTGATATCAAAATTCTTTGCGTACTAGATGGACAGTGCGTGCTGACTACAGGCATAGCATTATCAATCAGTACAATTCTGTACACGGGTTGTGGGACCTGCCATTTCAAAACTGCGTGGATACTGAAATCAAGACAAGAATACAAGGAGTTAGGGCTCATGTGAAGAAATTTTATTTCCTTTTCGTGTCTATGTGACAGAATATTAAGTAAATTACATTTATTTGGAAAATGAATAAATATTATAATGAAGTTGGTTAATTTTATGCGTGTACTAATTTCGTCAGTTAAATAAATATTTTGTATATGGCGCTCTTATCAAGACTTGATGAAATGTAAGTACACATATTCCTGGCATTTATCTATTTAAAACTTGTCCACGTGAATGATTGTTGTTCAGAATACCTAACCACAATGGAATTCCGTCTCACGCCTCTGATCATCACGTCCTGGTTGCCCTTGTCAGATACAGGTGCTAGTGGTCTAATCAAGTACATAGCTACTATGCTGAATGACTCTTCTATGAGAGGTATCTCACCCAGTGACACCTTGATTACCTTTCCTCTCGCCACTGACCTTTGGCAGATGTCACATTACCTGGAAAATATCGTCACATCTTCAATGACTTCTGGTCTTTGGAAGTTGTTGGTGGTTCTGTCTGCTGTCTTCTTTGCTGTTATGTGTCCTCCCACAATCGACTCGTGAGCCAGCTTCATCGCTTGAGTCCAGTATTCTGTTGTTACTATGATCTGTTTAACTTTCGCAATAGAACTGTCTTGTTAGATCTGGTACAGCAATCCCTACTTGTCTTCTATTCTGTAAGCCCCTTTACCCTTTGTCTTGTGTTCGACTTTTCCCCGGGCACTGTCCTAAAGTTTCTGCAGTGAAGGGTCTTTCTTCTGTGCTTCCTTCGGTACCCGTAGACTTACATTCGGGATGCCACTTTTCGAGACTGCTAGTGGCTTGATGTCTTGCTTGTATTTCTTTTCTAAATTTTATTACTTGCGCTATACAAACTATCTAAATCATAACACTCGCATCAAACTTAAATTGAAACAGTTGTGTATATGTAACAAAACATCCGACTTTCAATTTACGATAAACCAGCTTTACCTTTTAATAAACGTTTTAAATGCCATTCAGTTAGTAAATAATAATACACATATATGAGAACAATTGCAACGTAATCTTCACCAGCAATAACTACTGTATATTACAACATATCGAACACAACTGCATTATATTAACAGTAGTTGATGACCCACTTAAATGAAAGAGTTTCAAAATATCTCAGTGGCACCATCTCTAGTTCGGAAAGGATTAACTTTATTTCTCGCAATTAATATATATATATTTCACTATGGAAGGCAGAACCAACTAATAAAAGTTGTAATACTATAAATTGTATGTTAGAGAGAATTATTTTTATTTCCAGAAGGCGCACTCTGTTAGTTTCACTCTTTTGAAGATGATGTTTGCTGTTCGTCATGATGAAAAATATGTAAGTTTTTCAATTGACAATGGATGTAACTTCAAGCTGTATAGATTGTATTTTGTTTCTTTATTCCTTTATTTAATTCATATTTTCCTGTTACTTACTATAGATTTAATAAGCTAGAAAGTAACACTAACAGCTAAGTATTTCTTATACTATTAGCAATATTCGTAAAAGAATTTGAATAACCCATATTATAGGTTAGGGGCTGGCTTGTTTGGTAGGGCTATTATTATTAATGTAACTTAGTTTAACTTGTAATGGCAGCTTTAATTTTAAACTGGAATTAGACAGCGGTGAAAGTAATAATAATGAAGAAAACGTTAAATACAGAGAAAACTGAAAAGTATAGTGTCGGCACAAAATACAAAAGTAGTTTTAAATATTTAATGGTAAGCTAACCTTTTATTATTGTAATGCTAGAACTTAGAAATAGAACTTTCAATAGAAGTATAAGAAATAAAATAGATGACTTTACTTTAGAGCACTTGTCAGAATTGGAGGATCTTGATGTAATGAATATAACAGAAACTGAGAAAGTGAAATGTGGTTATGTATAGACAATTCTGATGACAGGAACTTCTTTGAAAATATTAAATATAAGCCAATCCTTAATAATAATGGGGTTGAACATAGTTGAGTTTTAGTGCTAGTAGTTATAACTATAATTTATAAAGGTAGAAGGGTTTTAGTCAGAACTTGTTACAGACCACAAGATGAAATTGATGAATTTAATGAGAAACTCTACAGTGAGATAAGAAATTCAGCTATTAATGAGGTAATAATTATGGGTGATTTTAATCTGAGACATAGAAATTGGGAAATGTTAAATCATGAGGGAGACAGGTTTTTAGAAAATGTTTAGGATGGTTTTATTTCATCAAATGGTAAGGGAACCCACTGGGAACAAAGCTATTTTAGATTTATTATTAACTTCTAATATAGATTTGGATGAAAAGAGTGGAGATTGGGGAACATCTGTGTGCAAATGATCATTGCTCAGTCAGGTTTGATGTTTTACTGCATATGGAGCTAATGAATAAAGTGGTTTAGATTTTGAATTCCAAAAGGCAAAATTTGAAGGGATGAGACAAAAATTGTCTGCTATGAATTGGGCTACAGAAATAATTGGAGATGCTGATCAGGTGTGGACAACTTAAAAATATATTTTGTAAAATTCAAGATAGCTGTGTTTCTTATAGAAACAAAAGGGTGACTGCAAGTAAAAAGCCAGGTTGGTTCATAATTGAAATAAAGGATAAGATTAAAAAAAAACATTTTAAATTTAAGAAATATAAATTGACTGCTATGTTGGGAGATCTCATGAATAATAGGAGATCAAAAGAGTTAGTGAAATGTGAAAATATGAAATAAACAAAACTAGATGAAAAAAGGTTGGATGAAAATGTAAAATTTAATATTAAGAATTTTTTTGAAAACACTAATTTAAGCAAAATGTTAGGACAGGAGTAGGACCTTTGAGGGATGATACAGGAAGAGTCATATTTGATGATAATAGGATGGTTAGATTATTAAATTCTACTTGTTTTTCAATGTTTACAAATAAAGATTTAAGCAGTATTCCTTATCCTGAATTGTTGATAGGTAGAAACAAGATTGAACAAGATAACCACATTAAATCTGAGCTTGTTAAGAAAAAAATTAGGGAATTTAAAGAATAATAAAGCTCCTGGGTCAGATGCATTTCCCTAAGGGTTTTGACGGAGGTTAAGGTTTGGATATGTGAACCACTTGAGGTGATAAAAGTTGTCCCAGTAAATATAGACCTATCAGTTTTATATCAGTAGTGGGAAAATGTTTTGAAAGTCTGATAAAAGATGCTTTGTAAAGTCATGTAACAAAGTTTATAATTTTGTAGATAGTCAGTATGGTTTTAGTAGGGGAAAATCTTGCCTTATTAATATTTTGATATTCTTTGAAGAGGTTACTGCTTATGTAGGTGAGGGTATTGGTGTAGGTTTGGTGTATCTGGATTTTCAGATAGCATATGACAAGATGCCAAATAAAATGCTTGTTAAAAAAATCTATAGCTGTGGGAGGAATAAGTTGGCTCATTGGATAGAAAACTGGCTGGATGGAATAATGCAGAGGGAATGGGCTTCAGTCAAAATGGATTATTGTCACAAGTGGGGTATTTCAGGGTGTAGTGTTCTTTTTGATTAACATTAATTACATAGATGAAGGAATGGTCAATAAATTATTTAAATGTACTGATGATAGTAAGGTTTTGGGTGTTACTAGCTGTGAGGAGGATGCTGATGCTTTTGTAAATGATTTTAATTATTAGGTGAGTTGCATGAAAAAGTGGCAATAGCTTTTAATTGTAATAAATGCAAAGTAATGCATGTGAGATATAATTTCAGCTATAAGTATAATTTTAATGGGAATACCTGTAACAGTGTTATGGAACAAAAAAGGACCTTGGTGTTCTAGTTGATCAATCTCTTAAGCCATCCTAGCAATGTGCTTTTCTTAGTGGCAGGGAAAATAGAATTTTAGGTTGTATCTAAAGAAATGATGAATACAAGTCAAAAGAGGTTATTTAATTTTATAAGTAATTGGTGTCCTCCAATGATACAGCTGTAAGTCTGCAGACTTACAATGGTAGCATCTGGGGTTGGATTCCCCACAGTGGACACAGCAGATAGTTCAATGTGGCTTTCTCTAATACAAACAAACAGGACATTGTTTAGGCCACATTTGGAATAGTGTGTTCAGTCTTGGGTGTCTTACCTTGAACACCTCAATGAGATCTCTTCTAGCATTTCTTTCTTCAAGAGAAAACAATTTCAGAGATATTAACCTGTCCTCATATGGAAACCTTTCCATCTCAGATATCATATTAGTAGCTCTCCTGTGAACCTTTTCCAACAATTTAATATCCTTCTTAAGACTGAACATAATACTTAAATGAAGCTTAACCAATGGCCTATACAATGAAATAATAACCTGTTTACACTTATATTAAATATTTCTATAAGTACAATCCCACATCCTATTTAATTTACTACTAGCATCAACTCACTGCTTTGGATGACTTAAGAGACTGATCAACTAAAATACTGATGTCCTTTTCTTCAAAACTGTTAAGATTATTCCCATCAAAAATTATACTTAGATGTAAATTATGATAACCCATATATATTACTTTGCATTTATAACATTTAAAAGCCATCTATGAGTTATTTGCCTAACTCGACAAATAATCTAAATCCTTTTGTAAAGCAGCATTCTTCTTACAGCCAACAACACCCAAAACCTTAACTTCCTCAGCAAATTGAAGCAGTTTATTGACCATTCTTTTATCTGTGTCAGTGATGTAAGTCAAAGGAAGCAAAGTCATAATACTGAACCATGAAGTACACCACTGGTGAAATTAATCAATTTTAAGTAGCTTAGAAGTCATGTGATAATGTTGTTCATCAATCGGGTTTCCCTCTTGCACTTGTTCAGGATGATGATTGATGCTTAAAGCTGTATATTTAAAAATTGAAGCCATAGGATAAACATCTAAAATAAGCCTTCTGTTATCATTCTTCAAATTTTCTACTCTCATTCTGATATATTTCTTACCCTAATGTGTATAAAGAAATCATACTATCAACCTTTACATTCTCGGCAACCTTTTTTCAAATTCTTTTTTTGAATGCCTGATATCCTGTTGAACTATGTTTTGATTTTATGTCATATAACCTTCTAATTTCCCATCATAGCAGGAAATTTAAGCTTCTTAAATTTATGATGCTCTTTTTTAAATTTTATTCCTTATCTCTTAGTGAAATAATCTGGTGTTTTACTTGCAGCTACCCTTTTTTTGAAAGTTTTTTTATAAGGGACATGTTTATCTTGAATATTTAAAAATATCCCTTTCAATTCTGGATTAATCCTAGTAACTCTTCCCTAAACTCTTTCAAGTAGTACACAGTCTTCCAAATGAGGGCTAACTAGGGATTTGTATTTTGACTTGTACTCAGTATCTATGTATAAACACACCCCTAATGTTCTATTAACTTTACTACTAGGAACAAAGAACAACCTTGATGGCTTATCCACCACCATGCCAAGTTCCTTTTATTCAGTTACACTTTAGCATGGGTCCCTATCTGTACAAGACATTTAAGCTAAGATATAACACAAATGCATTACCTTGCATTTACATAATTAAAGGTCATTTGTCCAACTTACTAGTTGATCAGAATCATTCTGTACTACCCCAATACAGCTAGAAGTATTCATGAGTTTAAACTGTAATGTTTTCCACAAACTATACTAATATACTAGTTTGTCATTATAAATATGATATAAATAAATAAAGGAAAGGCCAGAACAACAATAACCCAAGTGCCAGTCCAGTAATATCTGTAGTAACACAACATTTGAGAGAAAAGTGGTCCCTCACCTTTTATGACTGTACCATTCATTTCATCAAACATTCATTTGTGTATATCCAACTCAGACTCCTCAAGTGCTCATGAAGACCTTTTTTGGATTCTTACAATTCTGAAGACAATCTATTCCAAAGGCTGACCAACCGGTTTGAAAAATAAAATTGTCTAATGTGAAGATGATTTCTACTTTGCTAAATCTTAATTCTGTGTCTCCTAGTCCTCCCACTCTTACCATTAAATACATAAAAAATTACATATCAATCTTGTCTATTCCATTTATAATATTGAACACTTTAATTGGATCCTTTCTAACCCTTATAAGGATGCTAACTTGTTCTCATATGACTAGAGCTTGGAATTAGTAGTTGTTAATTGATGGTCCCATCAATTTCACTTGATTATTTGGTTAATACAGTGTTTTTTAAACAATGGTACATACAAAGAAAAATATATTGGCAGCAGATGCTACCAGCCAGTTGCCTTCCATGTTTATTAAACAGTTCAACAACAGCAACAAAAATAAAAAGGTTGATGGTGGCTGCTGCCAGCCAGTTGTCTTCTCACAAGTCAGCAGCGTCAACATTAATGACAGTGACAGATAGCCTTAGTAGCTTTGACATAGACAGGGCAAGCAAGTTAGATGCAAATATTTTGAGTATTTGGATATTTGGAATATATGAGAATAGTAATAATTGGAAGCCCTAATTTTGATGAGTTGGTTGTTATCATGACAATCAAGTTAATCATGACTTCAGTTGATTATTGAAATAATTGAAAACAGAAATAACCAGAAACACTGATTTACATGATTTTTTTATTATTTTTGTTACAATTGATATAATCAAAATTTCAATTAATCAACTGTGCTTAGTGATAAGAGAAGTAAGACTAATTAGTGCTTTTCACCTCCCTTAAAAATAGGTGTAACATTAGCCAACTTCAATTATTCTGGAACCTGCCCACTAATGAAAGACTCGCAAACGTTTTTAGTAAGGGTCTTACTTAAATATTTCTTTACTTTTAATACCCTTGGAATAATGTTGTAATCTATATTTTCAGTGCTTTTAGACATTAGCTAGAGGATAAATGATGCTAGGATAAAAAGATAATAAAAATAGACCTAGAATAACTAGAATGTTCTAGATAAAGTCATGAAAACCTAGTCATGTTGATGAATATCTAGAAGTGAGACATCAGTTATAATATGAGTGAGCCAGTCAGTTAGTAAGCTAGCAGTGAATCATTAGTTTTCAGTTGATAGAGTACCTGTCATTTAGTGAAGTATTTGGATCAGTTTTAATTATTACATCTATTCAGCTACTAAACCGATCAGCCATCAGATTGTATAAGTAAGTTTATCTTATTTGTACATTAGTCATGGTACCATTAATGAGGTATTTCTATTGAAGTGTCATTTGTAAACTTTGGCCTACAAGTTACTACAGTGTACAACTCAAGATAACCTGTAGAATTGTTAAAGAAGAAAGAAACTAATTTTTTATTGTTAGGTTTAATGCACATGGCCTTATTTTTACCTAATAATTTGAAAGAACAACCTTTATGAAAAACATTACAATAGTATTATAAGGCCTGAGGGCCTTATTGTCTTTTTAACTTCCAAATAAAGGACAGTTTGATGGCTATTATTAAGTGTATGTATATCTATCAAACTTCCTAACTAGTAACTTCACAGAATCTGGAATACTGTTCACATCATAGAAAAATTTAGCAATTCAACCATTCCATAATCTGCTGTCTTGTTCTTCTAGAGAAGAAGTACAAGTCAAGTATGACTATACCTCAAATGTGAGTTGTCTCTCTTCATCATCTTGGTTTGTGACTTCTAGAACTATTAACTCTGTTAATAATTTTAGTTTTCTTCTTAGGACATCAGACTGGAAACTATTAGAACTTTTACAATAAACCATTATAGATTTACAAGTGCAATCCTCAGCTGCATGTGTTAATGTTCTTCAAATGGAAGATTGGCTATTTGCTTCACTGTTTCCTTCAAGTGTCAATGTTCTTCAAATGGAAGATTGGCTATTTGCTTCACTGTTTCCTTCAAGTGTCAATGCTCTTCAAATGGAAGATTGGCTATTTGCTTCACTGTTTCCTTCAAGTGTCAATGCTCTTCAAATGGAAGATTGGCTATTTGCTTCACTGTTTCCTTCAAGTGTCAATGCTCTTCAAATGGAAGATTGGCTATTTGCTTCACTGTTTCCTTCAAGTGTCAATGCTCTTCAAATGGAAGATTGGCTATTTGCTTCACTGTTTCCTTCAAGTGTCAATGCTCTTCAAATGGAAGATTGGCTATTTGCTTCACTGTTTCCTTCAAGTGTCAATGCTCTTCAAATGGAATATATGTTATATATATAATAAACACGTGCCTGGCCAGAACTTGACACTAATGTTAATAAACAACATATCATAAATATCAATATTATTTCGAATAATGGAATCAGGAAAAAGAACGAGAAAGAAAGAACCTAATTCCAACAAGGTACATTACTTCTGCTCACATACATAGCTATTATCATTCAGTGCTGCCCTATAATTGCAAAATTTTTTGGCATGTCACAAATTTTCACTTCCATGCACCTCTTGATTCGCAACATTAACTGATTCTTATGTGCAAATTATCATGTGACAAACGTCCACCAATAGTAGTGCCACATAACCATGTGACTCCCTCTGTGTTTTTCTGCCTAACTATACTTCTTGTTTGGCAGTGCTCATGTTCAGGTGTTTAGTTTGTGCTCTCTTAATTAAAGTGTTTTTTTTCTTGTATCTTCATATCAATTTCTCTGACCAAGTTTACTATTTATTAGACAATAGTGATATTGGTAATTTATTCTGAAGTGGAATTATTTTATATTTCTACCCAATTATGGAACTTAATATTTCATTACAAATCATTTGGAATATGAATTTGGAATTCTAAGTTACCATTTCGGAGGTTATATGTTCTATCATCACATTTACAAAGTTTTAAGGTGGCAATCCTCAACTAAGGAATTATTGGCTTTACTTCATTGGGGTATTGATCATCCAATGAGCTCACCTTTATCAGACCTCAACTTGAGTTTGGGGGCCCACACATTTTGAAATATGGTCCACCGACTTTGGAAAGATAAGGTGTCATACGGTTATGGTTTTTGAATATTTTTGCTATTGATATTATTATCTCTAGTTATTTTGGTTCAATAACATAAATTTAGTTACATTGGTCAATACTCATAGTTACGTTCAGGTTTATAATTAGAGCTTAGTTGTATTCTTTGTCCTATAACAGTAGATTAGGTTTAACATGGGTCTTTGTTATTTTAGGATTACCTGTAATTCATCTTACAGGTACATTGTAAATTAGGTGAACTGTATTGTTTTTTCTTCAGAATATCACATCTCATATCTATGTTATTTTCAATACACACTTACTTAATTTTACAATATAATGTGTATTTCATCTTTATTATTATTTATCTTTATACTTCTTCATACTAACTGTTGTGGACCTTTGGAGCCTAGATCTGCACAAACTTCTCGCAATGTTGTATGTATTATTATGAAGTTAGGGTTTTTAAGTTAGAGCTTAGTGATATACTTTGTCCTGCATAGTTCGATTAGACTGTTATTTTTGGTTTACCAGTAGTTCATCTTATAGGTAAATCAATAATTAGGTTAAATATCTTCTTTTCTTCAACACATAACATCTTATACATATGTTTATTTCACTACACAGTTACTTAAATTTACATTATACTGACTATTTCATTTTTATAATTCTTGACAATTTATACTTCTTAAAATTAATTTAGTTTATGAGGAGAAATCTGTGGGCTGGAGTCTGGCTTACCTTCTCCCAGTATTACTCGCCTTCCTCCTACAACTGCTGAATCCATTTAGGATGACCTAGATTTTGTCAGTTTCCTCCATCTGATTATGGCTTGCCATCCCAGGCCTCTACTGCAGAATATGCTAGGTGTACCTCAGCCTTTTCTTTTAAACACATTTCACAATATACTTTCTCCTCCTTCTCCAGACATTATGTTTCTTGATGAGCAGTTTTGTCTCTACAGGGAGAGAGTACTTGCATGCCTCACCCTCCACAGGGTTTGGTTTAATTTACTTTAGCTTATCATCAGGCAGATTTTCTTCTTTATTCTATGTATTTAGAATCTCTGTTGCCTGTATGGTGGGAGTCTCTGTTAATCCTATCCATTTTATTCCCTCACCTAGTTTCCAGCTTCTTTTTACCTTCTTGACTCTCCTACAGGAAATGTCCACCCCACATCTCCTTTCTTAGGTATTACACTTATATCAGATACTTCTTTCTCCTTCCCTCCATGTTGGGGCATTTGCCATCTTCAGTTCTTTCCTTTCTCATGTGGCTTCTTTGCTTTTGGAATCTTCTGGGGTGGGACATTGGGACTTACAGTAGGCTCTTTTTCCCCACCAGTCCATTCTTTGGAACTATTCCTGTGCTTTGAGCATCACTTGGGGTATCTGTTATGCTGTATTATATTATTTTTTTTGGTTGCTCTTTTGTTTCATTCTGAGTCATTGCCATCTTTATTGATGTTCCATGTGTGGCACCTTCTCGTCCTTTACCTGTCCTACCTACGGGTTTCTAGATTCATAGTGTATGCACAATGGTGATTGAAGTTCTGATTTGATCAGTCCAGTCTCAATAACTTTTTGGTTCTTTCCTATTTTTAATGTGTAATCTTGATTACAAATAGGTGGGTAATCTATGTAGTACTGAGAATGCCTATGGTACACATTCTTATTTTTTTCATTTCTCTGGATGCTATCTTAGGTTTTTTCACCATGTGATTTGGTACCAGTTTCGTGCCTTACCCTTTGGATTTGTCCCAGTTCTGTATGTCTTTAGTCAGACGATCTGTGTTTTACCCAATTTCTGCATTTTTGGGGATTTTACTAACACCACTACTTGAATGTCTGGCTTCATTAGCTCCTCCTGAATGGGGGTGATCATAATGTATTCATTTGCTTCTTACACAAGCAGTTCAGGTGGTTGGATTTTCCAGTTTGAAAATTTTTTTGTTATCTACCTAACAATCTCAGCTATTTGGAGAACATCTTTTTAAACACACACCTCCATCAGTACCATCCATTCTCCTCCTCAAATGCATTCAATTAAGCTTTCTGTTATCCACACCATTACGATCTACTATCTTACTGCTAGCAAGGTTTTAATGCATTGGGGGCTTCTGTGGAAGCACTTCTCCCTTTGGGTTTGGCACATTTACAATATTTTCAGATGCTGCACGACCCATGGTCTCTTGCTAGGATTTCTTTGGATTCTCCTCTTAACTTTCCTTCTTCCCTTTTTGACTATATGTGGTAGTGGTTAAACATATCCTCCACATCATCAGATTTACCGATTCCTTCCCTTCGTATGGATTTGTTTTTCATCCCTGATGCTCATCTCCAAAGTTTTGTACATGGGTCAATCAGCAGGAGACTTCAGGACTATGGTCTACAGATGAAAGGTCTTACCATATTAACACCCTGGCACTTGCGACAGTCCAGTGTGCTTTAATTCACTTTCTTCTGGTGTGTTGTGTTCCAGGTGCTTTCATCCTCATTGCAGATTGTCTTTTCAGTCCCAACACACTTTCTCCCAAGGAGAGGCCTCTTGATCCTCCAATTTTCAGTGTGTCTGCCTCCTGTGGTACTCCTCCATGGAAAGCATTTAACTCCTTTCTCAATTCCAAGTTATCTCTTTTATTTTGGTCTCAGGTTCATCATTTACTCACCCTGGCTGTTGATACGTTCAGACAGGATTAGATCCAGTTTATAACTATAGTTTTTCTCATTCCGACAGTCTTCTTCCCAAGGTGATTTTGACTATCCATGGCACTCTGGGTCAGGACTTTCTGATTGTTCCTTTCTGGCCAGCACAGATTCGGTTTTCTTAACTGTTTCAATTCAAAATGTTGTTTTTCTTCTGATCGCTTTTACTAACCTACACTTTGGGGCTCATGTGAAATATTCTTTTCATCAGTTTGTTTTTTATTGTCTTCCACCTTTATTCTTGGTCAAATCAGGATGACTTTTTCTGTCCTGCACATGCTCTGGGTTGCTTCATTGCTTTCAAGGCTTCTTTCCATTGACTACATTCCTGCAGTTTCATTCCTTTTCACCATTCCTCTGTTCGTGATTTTTTTCCCTTCCTCTTTTACCAGTTGGGTTCAGCTTGTGATTTGGTGAGCCTCTTATTCCTTATCTTCTTCTTCCCCTAATCAATTCCTGGTGTCTTCACCCATGCATCTCAACCTTGTTGTCTGTTGGAGGTACTTTCTCTGTTGAGCACTGAGACTACATTTCATACGTTCATCTCCCATTATCTGCTTTGGGTAGCTGTTTCTTCCTCATTTGGGTACCATCTTCCACCTGTTGCCATCTTTTATTCTTCTGTGAGACTGTAACTGGGTAAATTTTCTTTCTTTAGTCATATATATTATTTGTCAGGGGCCTCCCATGTTTTGACGAGTGGTGCCTGTCCACGTATACTTCAATCACTTAGAATTATACTAAAACCCACACTGTAAGCCTATGTTCATAATTTCCATGGCCACATAATGCACACTGTTCATTACAATAACTTAAACTAAAAATGGGTGTTCCACAAGATCACTTGTAGGTTATTCTTTGCGATACCTTTACTTCATAAATATGCTCATTCTGGACCACTAACCCATGGACTTCATGGGTAAAGCAGAAGGGAATTGCTGCCCAGCCCTGCCATTCCTTAGATTGAATAAATTGAATAAATAATGATTCCTGCTATCCCGACCTTCTATTAGGTTGTCAGGAAGTTAATGTTACATTTTGGAACACTTTCATTAACCACCCCCAAAAATGTACATCACATATAATAGTTAAATGAATTGCCTGAACATCATGAGTAAAGTTAGTATACTCTAATCCCTTATAGTGATGGCACACGATGAGACACACATTCGGTATGTAATGCTGTTTGAATACAAGAAGGGAAACAATACAATAAAAAGTTCTCCCCTAACCACCATATTCTCCAGATATGGCACCATCAGATTACCTCTTTTTTATTTGCTGCAACACCATCTTAATGGGAAAAAGTATGCATATGTGGAAGGTGTTAAAGAGGTGCATTTCTTTAATGCCCTTCTTTAATCAAGGCATTAACAACCTGATTGTAAGATGGAAAAGCATCATTGCTAAGAATGGAGATTATTTCATTTAATAAATTTTTTATTTTGATGTATAAGCTGTTCATATTTTTTCATTTAAAAAAAAGCAACATTAATTTCTTGATGACTTAATACAACCTTTCCTACCCTTGCCTGACTCCATCAATCTCATCCAGACAT